GGGGGATCGTTTAACAATGGCGACGACATCAAACGCGAGCACGGTTTTTACCGATCGAACCCAAACGGGGCCAAAAGATCGTGTTTCACGTTATTTTTAACCCCTTAACGCTCGTACTTCTCAACTTGACCAAGAATTATCAGTTTTCTTTATTAAATTTCTTTCTAAGCTGCATAAACATTCGATTTTTGTTCGTTACAATGTATCTAGCGTGTAACTTGAAGGAAAATAGATATTGTCGTCCCTTGAACCATCGAATTAAAGAAATATCGTTTTTCAAAGCATTCAGACTCGGGCATAAGAGCAATATTATAATAAAAAACCTAAATGGAAGTTTGTTTCATCACTGGTGGTCTATTTCAGTCTCCTAATTTTTAATATTTTAGCTATGGTTAGGGGGGTAGATACGTTCTAAGTGGCCATTACATCTTTCGTGAGTGTAATAGCTAAAATAATGGTCGAAGACTTTCATCCTCTACGATTACTCTGTCGAATTCCACCGTAAAAAATCGAATTCACTCTTGCTACTGTATCAAGTCCTCGAGGTTATACGAGATTTTTAAGCAACAGCTTTCCTCATTATTTAAAACAGCCGAGATATTAAGTCTGTCTTACCAAAGTCTCAGAATTTCGCTGGGAATCGCAGAGAAAATGGTGAGAGTCAGAGGACGTAACAAGTTAACATTTCTGGGGAATCATCCCTGTCGATATTCAAGAATTACTTCATCGTTAATAATTATAGCACGTTCGAGACAGGCCGGGGTATCGATGGGAACGACCGTAATCATATTTCGAGGCATAACATCGTTCCTCGTGGTTCCCCCAGCCCCTCCCACCACCCGGCGTAGCTACGTCGTCGATGGAACGCAAATACTTTCAGACAGCGAATCGAGTCCCCCCCCACAACGTCTGTTGCTTGAAAGGCTACCGAAACGTTGGCGAACGATCCAGGGAGAGATGGCACGAAAGAAACGCAAACAGAGACCGTACAGCCCCCTTCGTTCTTTCACCCCTCGTGATTCCCCCGGTGGTAACGGCCGCCACGATCGCTTGTCTCAATTTCCACCGCGCGTCCACCATCGCCGCCATCAATTCATCCCTACCCTAATCCGAAAATCTCTCCGACGTACGGCGTTTCACCCTCGTTGCAGCGATCAGCCTTCGAGCACCTTTCGTCCCCTTTTTTCCACCCTTCGACCTTCCGCCAGAACACTTGGAACGGCCAGTCGCTACTCTGAGGGTTGCAGACGATACACGTTGCAATTTTTCTGTGGTGAGTCAGTTGGGACACTCTGTGTACTAGATGCTTGGAGATACTTTGATGATCATTTTGGAAACTATTGAAGAATCGATTGTTTCGAGCATCTTTCTCGTACATTGAGATACCAGGTGTTGGGTATTTTAGGATATAATATAAGAATTGTTCGGAATAATATATTCAGGTGGTCTGATAAATATGTTTTATTTGGCAGGTTGGATATATTCGTGTTTAACCCCCTGACGTACGATTTAATCTAATTTTTCAAAACGTTTACTATACAATTTTATTTAAATTTATTGGTTCAAGGAATGACCACGAAAAATGATAGATTTGTTTTACGAATATAAAAAAATTTATTGATTTCAATAGATAAGTCTTGATGACCAGTGAGTAGCTTCATGATTGTGTAAACTTACCATCAGGAGCTTGTAATAAGTCAGATTCGTCATTGTATGACAAAGGGTTAAGTAATATACTATAATATATTAAAATTTATTATAAATTATATATATTATAATATATTCGGTTGGTCAGCTAAATATGTTTTATTTGGCAGGTCGATGTAAGATATTTGCAGAATAGTGTTCACATGTTGGATATATTCGTATTTAACCCTCTGACGTACGATTTAATGTAATTAATCAATTTTATTTAAATTTATTCCGTATAAAGAATGACCACGAAAAATGATAGATTTCTTTTACGAATGTAAAAAATGTGTTGATTTTAATAGATAAGTCTTGATGACCAAGTGAGTAGCCCCATGATTATATAAACTTACCATCAGGAACTTATCACGACTCAGATTCGTCATTTTATGTCAGAGGATTAAGTAATATATTCAGTTCATTTGCTAAATATTTTTCATTTGTAGATAGTTGGAAGTATGCACAATATTGAAAAAATTTTTTAACCGAGTGCTGGTGGAAAATATGTTAATCAGTATCGTCACATCTCCTGGAAACTTATTTGGCGTTGAAATTTGACGAACGCCTCCTCGTAAACACGAGAACGTCCGATACTGGCGTTTACAATCAATGGGCACAGGTCCTCAGAGTATTAAACCGTAATTCAGGAAACGAGTGTTATCGACTGTTTATTAAAATTAGATCCGAGGCGACCTGAATATTACAGGCCATAGATCCGCCCGTGCGGAAACTGAAAACCCCGGATAACGAAAAATGCATCGTTCCATTAGGAATGGTACACTGGCCACCCAACATTCCCCCACTTTAAACCCCCTCTTTGACTTGTGATTTAATTTCACGTTATTTTTCCAACGTGTATTATTTAATTTTGTTTAAATCGCAAGAAGTGGCTACTTTGGACCTTCGATTTTTATTTATATAATTCGTCTAAAAATAATGTGTTTAGAAAATTGCAATTTTTGAAAGTTTTGTTTAATGAAAGGAAGGTGATAAAATTTTTTAAATATTCTACGCTGAAATACGCGTTGTTTGGATTTTGAAACATTAAAATCGTCCAATTCGTTCAGAAGATATGATTTTTTAAATATACGCATGAAATTTCAGGGGAATTATTCATTCATGGTCAGACATTGTGTTTTTGGTAATTAATTTTTTTCTTGAAAGTGGGTAGGATTTCGAGGGTATGTGTGCTCACCAAAAATGATTGTAATTGACTCCCACAACCAAAAATAATTTTTCCAGAAAGATTTGAAACTTTTTTTGTCCGTCGAAAAATTTCACACCTTCTCGAATTTTTTTCTAGAAAATGGGTAGGATTTCAAGGGTATCTCTATTCATCGAAAATTATTCTAATTGGCTCCCACAACCAAAAATAATTTTTCCAGAACGATTAGAAATTTTTTAATTTTGTCGAAAAATTTCACACCTTCTCGAATTTTTTTCTAGAAAATGGGTAGGATTTCAGGTGTATGTGTATTCACCGAAAATGATTGTAATTGACTCCTACAACCAAAAATAATTTTTCCAGAACGATTAGAAAGTTTTTAATTTTGACGAAAAATTTCACACCTTCGCGAATTTTTTTCTAGAAAATGGGTAGGATTTCGAGGGTATGTGTATTCACCGAAAATGATTGCAATTGACCCCCGCAACCGAAAATAATTTTTCCAGAACGATTTGAAATTTTTTTTTTCCGTCGACCTACTCGGTCGATTTTTCTTAAAAATTTGTTTTTGATTTCAGATAATTGAAACTCTATCGTATGCTGAATGCTAATATAATTGATTGTTAGTGAACAAATTGCATTATGCATGCATATACAATAATATAATGTCTAACATCATTATTTTCTAAATTTTCTAACTTGATACCTAATCGAAAAAACATTGAATTTATTATATCTATATTGTTCACCATTTTTATTGGGTTTTTATCAGGAAATTGAGTGAAAAGTCACTTTTGTCTAACATCACTATTTTCTAAATTTTCTAAATTTTCTAACTTGGTACCCAATCGAAAAAAACATTAATTTTATTATAGTTAGTCTGATACTATAGTTAGATACTATAGAATCTACTATAGTTAGTCTATAGATATCTTGTCCCAACATTATGATTGCGATTTTATCACAAAATTGAATAAAAAGTCACTATTTCTAACATCATTATTTTCTAAATTATCTAACTTGATACCTAATCAAGAAAACATTGAATTTATTATATTTATTTCACAGTTATCATTGCTTTTGTATCACGAAATTGACTGAGAAGTCACTGCTTTCTAACATCATTATTTTCTAAATTTTCTAAATTTTCTAACATGGTACCCAATTGAAGAAACATTAAATTTTATTATAGTTATGTTGTCCCAACATTATCATTGCGATTTTATCACAAAATTGAATAAAAAGTCACTGTTTTCTAACATCACTATTTTCTAAATTATCTAACTTGATACCTAATCAAGAAAACATTGAACTTATTATATCTATTTCACCATTATCATTGCTTTTCTATCACGAAATTGACTGAGAAGTCACTGCTTCCTAACATCACTATTTTCTAAATTTTCTAACTTTGAAACCCAATCAAAAAAAACATTGAACTTATATCTATACTATATCTATGTATAGTATCACCATTACCACTGAGTTTTTATCACAAAATAGAATGAAAAGTCACTCCTATCTAACATCCCTATTATCTAAATTCGCCAACTGTAGCCCAATCAAGAAACCACAGAACTTACTACATTTACATTATTCCACCCCTACCAAAAAAGAACAAATAAAAAGCTCACTAATACCAACATTCCCCACATACTCATTAAAAAAAAAATTACTCCTCTCGTCGCGCAAATGCAGGAGCACAACAGCCCAACGAAACAAAACGAAAGGAGAACAAGGAACCGGGTTTGGAGGGGAATGGTTTATTAAATTTCTCGCTCGAGCAGCGAAATTACTCGCGTAACCTTTCGTTTACGCACCCGGGTGCCCGGTCCCCCCTCCCCCGACCATGGGGGGTGGGGGGCGGGATTAATGAAAACATTCACGCATCGTACATTAGCGGGATGAGATTGTCCCCGGGGTGGCGTGCAGCCTCGTGATCGCCGCGACTTCGGCCGAAGTTCTGGTCGGCGAGACCTCTCTCTCCTCGCGAGTGAATCTCGCGTCGTTGCTTCCTGTTCGATCCGCCAGTGGCGCCGCTGTCGCCCGTCCAGCGGGGGTCGGGGGTGGGTCGAGGGAACGAGACGACGTACGTTCGTGGGAGGGAACGGAGCGTGGAGATAGTCGACGAGGACGCAGGGTGGTGAGTGGCCACCTTTGTCGTAGGTCCTCGAAGGTCCTGCCCGTGTAGGACCAGGACCAGTTTTTTTGTTACCTACGTTTCTCGCGCTCCTCGAGGGGCGAACGAGAGAAGGACAGATCGATAGACCGGCGGCCAGTGTGCTCGCTCGGCTGCTGCGTAAGGGTGCGTGAACGGTGCGTGTTCGGCGTGCGAAAAAGGAACGCGGGACGCGGTTATCGCGACGGGGTGCGGCCGAGGATGGTCAAGGCCCCGATCATGGGACCCCCAGCCGGCAGCCAGGGGAACAGGAAGATCCACCCGGGGCCCGAGATCGCGATGAATCCCCGTAATCTGCCGACGGCGAACGCTCCTACACCCCCGGGCATCAGACCAGATGGCAATTCGTTCGGCAAGGCCACCTCGATCTTCAGTCCCCAGGTACATAGCCAGGAACCGGAAGACACCGTGGGGCTTTTGCCGCACACACGATCTCGTCTCGACCCCGTTAGCGAGCGTTCCCCTAATTTATTCGGGTCCGTTGACCCCTTTGTCCGCGTACTTTGTTTTGGTAGTCGACGTTTTTCGATCCACACGCCGCCAATTACTTAGACACCCCCACCCCCGGGGTCCTCCAAGTTTTTTTGTCACGAAGACACACCGGTTCTGGGGGGGACTAAAAAAGTCTCTCTCGTTGTTTATACACGATGATTTCGAGGTATCGTTACGTTACGCGACCTCTGACACTCGTCAGGGACAAATTGTGACTGTCGTTGATGGTGAATTGAATTTTTACGTTGGTTCGTTAGTTTTCTCGAATTGTCGTTCGACGGATTTCGTTGTTTTGGTAAACATCGCGATACTTTTTAAAGTTTCGCGCTACGGTGTTACCAGCAATCTGCTCTTTTATCGTAGCGCGAAATCCAAGAGTTTATCGTCGAATGTTTCTCGCGGTATTATTCGATATACATCGAAGGGGCTTTGCGATTTTTTGTTTTTATTATTTAATCCTTTCTTTTGTGAAACTTCATCGCTGACGTGGCGTTTTGTTTCCGCTGGTTTCTCTGGTTTTTATTTATGAATGTAATTTGACGATGGTTGGAGATACGTTGAACTTTGATTGTTTCCCTGTTTGAGGAAGATTCGAGACTTCTTTTGGACTCGTTTCGGACGTGCAAAGTCGATTGAGAGCAAAGGGTGACTATTTCAGTAATATCGAGCACCCAGCAGTATGATTGAGTAATTAATCGACGTTTCGGTTACAAGGTTGCATGACCCTCTTCAGGAATATATATACGTAACCTTGAATAACACAGATGCGTGTCGAAACGAGGGACGACTTGCAATGGAATGATTTATATAGGAACATTAACAATTTATATATAGGTTTTCGTTTTTATTGCTATTTGGCCTTTTTGTCACGAAATTTACTGATAATTCCTAACATCACTAGTTTCTACATTTTCTAACTTTGGTATTAATTGAGAATACGATACATTTATTATGAGATTGTGAGTGTTTATGGAAAATTTTAATTTTCAAGAAACCAGTGCACTTAATATGCAAGTATATGAGAAATACTTCAAACAGGAGACGAATTATTATATTTAGGGACAACCCACTAGAAAGCTCCCATTTCATTAATTCTAATAAAAATATGAATTTGCATAAAGATCCGCTGACTACTTATTATATTTGAGTGGGTTCAACATTTTCATTGCGTTTTTATTACGAAGTTACATGAAAATTTACTAGTTTCTAATATCACTATTTTCTAAATTTTCTAACTTGGTACCTTATCGAGAAAACATTGAACTTATTATGTCTATATTGTTTCACTGCTATTATTGGGTATTTATCACGAAATTGAGTGAAAAGTCACTGCTTTCTAACATCACTATTTTCTAAATTATCTAACTTGTTACCCAATCGAAAAAAAAAACATTAAATTTGTTGTAGTTATGGTGTCCCAACATTATCATTGCGATTTTATCACGAAATTGCATGAAAATTTACTACTTTCTAATCACACTATTTTCTAAATTTTCTAACTTCATATCCAATCGAAAAAACATTGAATTTATTATATCTATATTGTTTGACGACTATTATTGGGTTTTTATCAGGAAATTGAGTGAAAAATCACTGCTTTCTAACATCATTATTTTCTAAATTTTCTAATTTGGTACCCAATTGAGGAAACATCAAATTTATTATAGTTGTGCTGTCCCAACATTATTATTGCGATTTTATCACGAAATTGCATGAGAATTTACTACTTTCTAATCACACTATTTTCTAAATCTTCTAACTTGATATTCAATCGAAAAAACATTGAATTTATTGTATCTATATTGTTTGACAACTATTATTGGGTTTTTATCAGGAAATTCAGTGAAAAATCACTGCTTTCTAACATCACTATTTTCTAAATTTTCTAAATTTTCTAACTTGGTATTCAATTGAAAAAATATTTATAATAGTTACATTGTCCCAACATTATCATTGCGATTTTATCACGAAATTGGATGAAAATTTACTACTTTCTAATATCATTATTTTCTAAATTTTCTAACTTCATATTCAATCGAAAAAACATTGAACTTATTATATCTATAATATATTGTTTCACCACTATTATTGGATTTTTATCACGAAATTGAGTGAAACGTCACACCTGTGTAACATCATTAGTTTCTAAATTTTCTAAATTTTCTAACTTGGTACCCAATCGAAAAAATATTAAATTTATTATAGTTGTGCTGTCTCAACATTATTATTGCGATTTTATCACGAAGTTCCATGAGAATTTACTACTTTCTAATATCACTATTTTCTAAATCTTCTAACTTGATACCCAATCGAAAAAACCTTGAACTTATTATATCTATATTGTTTCACCCCTATTATTGGGTTTTTATCACGAAATTGAGTGAAAAGTCACACCTGACTAACATTACTATTTTCTAAATTTTCTAATTTGGTACCCAATCGAAAAAACATTAAATTTATTATAGTTATGTTGTCCCAACATTATCATTGCGATTTTATCATGAAATTGCATGAAAATTTACTACTTTCTAATCACACTATTTTCTAAATTTTCTAACTTGATATTCAATCGAAAAAATATGAGATTATTATATCTATATTTTTCCCCAAATATTATTGGGTTTTTATCACGAAATTGAGTGAAAAGTCACTGCTTTCTAACATCACTATTTTCTAAATAATCTAACTTGATACCTAATTAGGTAAACATTAATTTTATTATAGTTATGTTGTCCCGACATTATCATTGTGATTTTATTACGAAATTGAATGAAAAGTAACTCCAATCTAGCATTAACTATTTTCTAAATTATCTAACTTGATACCTAATCAAGAAAACATTGAACTTACTATATTTATTTCACCATTATCATTGGTTTTGTATCACGAAATTGACTGAGAAGTCACTGCTTTCTAACATCACTATTTTCTAAATTTTCTAACTTGGTACCTAATCGAAGAAAACATTGAACTTATTATATCTATTTCACAGTTATTATTGCTTTTTTTTATCATGAAATTGAATAAAATGTCCCCTTTATCTAACATCGTCATTTTCCAAATTTTCTACCTTGAAACCCAATCGAGAAAACACTGAACTTTATATATCTATTTCACAGTTATCATTGCTTTTTTATCACGAAATTGAATGAATTATCCCTTTATCCAACATCGCCATTTTCCAAATTTTCCACCTTGAAACCCAATCGAGAAAACATCGAGCTCATTACATCTACATAGTTTCCCCGCAATCAGTGCTCCTTAGAATTAAAATAAAAACATGTATTAATCATCCATATTCCCAAAGACTCCTCCTTTTTCCCACCTCCATTACTTTTCAATGTTTCTGAATTTCGTTTTAGCGTTTCCTCGTTAACGCTAATTAACGAGACTCATTCCCGATCAAACATTTTCCATAACTGCACAATTATCGGGGTTCCCCCGTAGTTCGAAACTCTGACGATCCCCTCGCGCGATCCCCGGAAGCCTCGCGATTTATTCCTCTTTCGCATCGATCCCATTGTTTGCGTTGCAGCGCCTCGTAAGAAATTGCACGCTAAAACCGTCGGATAAAATTCGAAAGTCGCTCCAATTTGTCGAATCGTCCGTGTTCAGTTCGGATCCCTCCCCCGTCGTTCCCTCCGATATCTCGTTTCCTGGCGATCGGTGTGCAACGTTTCAAAATTATCTGATCCAAGGCTTGCCCCACCCCGGGATCCTTCCTTCCTCGTTCCTTCGACGAGCTTCCCTTTGATCGTTTACGCGACAGTTTTTGCCCGTTGCTCTTCGTCCCGCCTTTGTCGCCATACGTTTGCAATTCAATGATTACGGGGGCCCTAGCAGTCGCAAATAAATTATCGATAAACTCGGCGAGGAACCAGCGCGCGGGTGGGGGGGGATTCATGAATGAATGGATGCACCGATCCTTTCTAAGAAACTCGTAATCTTTTAAATCCCCCCATTGATTTATTCCGGGTGTCTTTCTTTCGAGCGAATATTATTGCAAAAAGGCACGGCGGAACGCGGTTGATCTATATTCCTAATCCTGCAACGTCTGCCTCGTAATCGGCTACGCCAGGTACCGCTCGTTCTATTAAAATCCTTCCTTCCGCGTCTTGGCTCGAGTGGTCGCGAGAGGAAAAAACCTACCAAAGATTCCAGGAAACGTTACGCACGAAGGAGGAACTAAATCGCTTCTTTTGGCGCAACCTTTGCGCGATGGGAGCGGAAAGATGGCGGTCAAAGAGCGTTTCCACGACGGGGAAACTTATGATATCCCTTTGTGGAACGATCGCGAATTAAATTTACTTTCAGACGTGGCTAAAATCGCGCTCCAAGTGCTTACGATTCTCGATCTGATCAAATTTTTATGATTAATGATAAAACATCGGAAGGACCCATCGATTCAAGTTTTATCACTCGATTTTAACTCTTAAGTGGACTCTCAATCTCAATTGAATTATTTTATTTAATATTGATTTTTACCAAATTGGTAAATGGAAATTAACTTTCCTTTGATACATTAAATAATTATTAGTTTAACACGTTCATTGCCAAATTAAAACTGCATAATATTCTGAAAAAGTATAATTTTGATTTTAGATCATTCTGCATAACCTAAAATTTGTTTCAGTACTTGTTATTTGCAACCTTGTTAAAATTCATAAATTCTATCCAAATTTACTTTTCTTAACTTCAGAATTAATTTTTCTAGTATCATAGTGGTAAAATGTGAAGTGAAAGTGTTAAACTTGTGGACCCAATAATCCACTTAGAATTGCACATTTTTTACACTGCTATAAAAATACTAAATAACACGAAGAATATCGACTAGTTATTAACAAAGACACAGAATATGTTACAAGTTTGTTTCAAGCGAAAATTTTTAT